ATAATAATAATAATAATAATAATAATAATAATAATAATAATAATAATTCTTTAAAAAAAATTAAAGTTAGAGGCACGAGAATCAGTCCTCCACAATGGAAGGTGACAACATCTTCCGCTCCAAGATAAATAAGTCCCGAGATAAGTCAGTGGGCCCCAAAAAGGCCTCTAAGGCGGCCTATAGATGGCACCAAGCCTTGGAAAGGCAGTTGCAGAAACGGGCCAGGGAGGCGGACAAGATGGCTATGACACAACAATCGGATCAGGGCCCAAGTACATTGTTGGGGCCCTAGGACTTATCCATCCAGCCCAGACAGGCTATTTCTGGACAGCCTCCCATAGGCATATCTCCTTCAATGAGCACTGTCCGGCGAATCCCAGAGGCAACCTTCACCCCTACAGCCGCCGGTTTAAGACAGGAGGAGGGATTACCTGAGACTATTCCCATCGAAATGAGGCAATGGATGGAGATGGCCATAGAAAAGGGCATTGTGGCTGGAGTTCAGCAATCCATCCAGACCAGATACCTTTCGGCTACTTCGGAAGCGGGATCCCTGTCTGCTCGTTCCTTTGCACATTTGGGACACCATCAAACTCAGGTATTCCCCAATATTCCTGACTTACCAGTCCAGGGTCTTCGGGAGGAGGTGGAATTAGATGACCAAGATGTTCCCATGGAGGTGAGGTCGATCCATCAGATGGACTTGGGGTTTTCAGAGGCTGACCCACTAGAACGAGGAATGTTCAATGACGAAGGCCTCATTCCGGACCAACCTACTTTTTCTGGCCTTTTTTGTCTGCACCTCTTTAAATCTTTACTGTTCAAAGAAAAGAACACCGCTAAAATAGGCACATCAAGCCCTCATCCATTGTCAACAGGGTCTCAGGACGAATCCGAGGATCTAATATTCTCACAACTGGCTAATGAGGCGGAGACTATTCCTGTCCTTCGTATGTTTGCTGAATTAGTACAAAATCAATGGGCATCAGCAGCATCCTACCCAGCCCCAACAGGGTATGATAAACGATATTATAATTTGGCACCAGAGTTTTCAAATTTACTCAAAACGCTGGAGATGGATGAGCCCATTGTGGCACTGGCCTCTTCTTCAACCTTTCCCAATGAGGCCGAGGAAGCCCTGAGACCGGAGGAAAAGAGAGCAGAGTTGGCACTCCGTAGGGTGCATGTTTCTGACGCCTGGGCCATTAGGGCAGCTACAGCTGCATCCTTTTTTTACATGGTCCTCCCTATGATGGCTCTTCCACTTGAGGGATATATTGCTGGCGTCAAATGTCAGAGCCCACCAGGACACTGCTAAGATTATTGCAGCGGCAGAATTCTCTGCCGACGCCACATTTAATGCAGTCAAATTCTCATCTAGAGCCATAGCATCTCATGTATCAGCACGGAGACTGCTATGGCTCAGACATTGGCAGGCGGATACCAAGCATAAATGCAAGTTGGCATCAGCCCCAATATCGGGGGATAAATTATTTGGCAGTGTCTTGGAGCCCCTGCTTATTGAGAAAAGAAACAAGAAAAAAGTGCTTCCCCCTCTTTTTCAGAGATCTGAAAACAGAACGCCCCAGTTGTTTCGAAGGGGCTCCTTTCGGCCCTACTATCAAGGCCCATATGTTCCCAGATCTCAGAGAACATCAGGTTACAGATCCAGTTTTAGACAGGATAGGTCGGAATCTTCCGATAGAGGTCAACGGGAAGCCAAAACAGAAGAAACCCCAGTGGTACCGGAGGCCGATTTTTTCGTCACCCCAAGTGAGTCCTTGACAGCAGCTCCCATTGGAGGGCGACTAAAATTGCTTGCTGATCAATGGGACAGCTCCACCGCTGGTGCATGGGTCAGGGACTCTCTTAGGTTTGGCGCTAGAGTTTCAATCCTCCCCCCCCGAACTTTTTCATTAGGAGCCCTAGGTCCACGGACCCCATTAAGAGGCCGTTGATGCAGGAGGCTATCAATCATCTTCTGCATATTCGGGCCATTAGAGAGGTCCCATCTGAACAACGGGGTCAAGGCTGTTACTCTCTATTGTTTGTGGTCCCAAAGAGTTCGGGGGGCTGGAGGGCAATTCTGGACCTCAAACATCTGAACAGATCATTGGTTTATTGAAAATTCAAGTTGACTACTCTCCAGTCCATTCTGCTCAGCATCAGAGAGAACGATGTCCTGACCTCTATAGATCTGACAGAGGCTTATCTACATATACCAAATTAGACCTGCTCACTACAAATATCTTAGATTCTGCTATTGTGATCAGCACGACGAATATATCGCCCTACCATTTGGTCTTGCTTCGGCCCCTAGGACTTTTACCAAGGTCCTAGCGGCTTTGGCTGCCTCCCTCAGGATCAAATCTATTCGTTTACAATGTTATCTGGATGATATTTTAATTTTGTCATCTTCCAGACATCAAGCAAATTTGGATACCAAGATTACTCTGGAGACCCTTCACGGTCACGGCTTTTCCATAAATTGGGATAAAAGCCATTTGATCCCTTCAACTAGGTTAGTTCATTTAGGGGCAGTGATAGATACCATGGAGGGCAAGGTTTTTCTCTCTCAGGACAGGTTGAATAGTATCCAGTCTTTGGCCAGAAAGATCAGAGCCTTAAAGAGGGTTTCCCTGGCAGTTCTGTCTCAACTGTTAGGGAAATTGATTTCTTGTATTTCCATTGTGCCTTGGGCTCGATTCCATTCTAAAGATCTGCAATGGTTCCTGCTATCTTTCCAGTGATCCGGAAGAGCCACTTTCAACGTCCGGATAAAGGTACCGCACAATGTTCTCCGATCGCTCCGCTGGTGGTCGGAAAACACGATAAACAAGGGGTGTCCTTTCAAGGAACTTTGCAGGGCAACGATCACAACCGATGCCAGCCTGGTAGGATGGGGAGCTCACTTCCAATCCCACACTGCACAGGGAACTTGGACTATTTCCGAACAATCACAAAGCATCAACCTATTGGAGCTGTGAGCAGTTCATCTGGCGTTACGCAGTTTTCTACCCCTTTTCCAATCACACCACGTTCTGGTCTTGACAGACAATATCACAACCAAGGCCCACGTAAACAGACAGGGGGGTACCCACTCCAAACCTCTGATGCTGGAGACGGCCAGGTTGTTCAAGTGGGCCAAGGCCAATCTGTTTTTGCTCAAGGCAGAGCACATAGCAGGGGCCTTAAACACACAAGTGGTTCAGCAGGGCCGCGATAGATCAGGCAGAGTGGTGCCTACACCCGTCTGTCTTCCAGGAAGCAGTGCGGAGGTTTGGGCAACCGGTGATCGATCTATTGGCCTCTCCCCTCAATGCCCAATTGCCTCGGTATATTTCAAGGTACCCGACTCAGGGGCGGAGGCTGTCAACGTCCTGTGATGTCAGTGGCCTCCCGGACTTCTAGATGCGTTTCTTCCACTCCCAGTAATACCCAGGTTGATCCAGAAGTTATTGGAGGAACGAGCGGAATTGATATTGGTTGCCCCTTACTGGCCCAGGTGAACGTGGTTCGCGGACTTACAGGACCTGTTGAGAGAACAACCTTGGAAAATTCCACCGTCAAGGGTTTCCCTCTCGCAAGGGCCGGTACTTCACCCGGACCGACATTGGTTCAGCCTAGCCATATGGAGGTTCAGCGGAGCCGTTTAAGGACCCAACAGATTTCAGAGGATGCCATTGCCACCATACAAGCATCCAGACAGTCCTCAACAAATCATACATATGAGGCCACATGGTCTGCTTTCTGTCGCTGGTGCCGGGGGTCTAAGATCGACCCAACTACCCCATCAATAGGACAATTATTGGCCTTTTTACAGGAGGGGTTGACCAAGGGCCTATCTCCAAATACTTTACGCAGACAGGTGGCGGCCTTAGCCTCGGTGGTATCCTGGAGTGACCGTCGTTCCATAGTGCTCCATCCACATGTCTGCAGCTTTCTTAAGGGTGCTGCAAACTTACGAACTCCTGTAATTCACCGCTATCCCACTTGGGACCTCAACAAGGTCTTAACCGCACATACAACTGGCCCGTTCGAGCCTTTAAGAACCGATAGTCTCAAATTCCTGACATATAAGGTGGTCTTCTTAATTGCGATCACATCAGCAAGGAGGATTTCCAAATTGGCGGCATTGTCGATGAGAAAGAACCTGTGCATGTTTCATGCGGACAGAGTGGTTCTCCGATTGGATCCATCGTTCACCCCTAAAGTAAATTCAGTCTTCCACAAAGCGCAGGAGTTGGTACCTCCAATTTTTTGTCCGAAACCATCTCATAGACTGGAGCATCAATGGCATCGACTTGACATTCGAAGGGCGTTAAGCATCTATCTAGACTGCACGGCAGCATTTTGAAAATTTGAGGCTCTATTCCTATCCTTCAACCCATCCACTTTAGGACACAAGGTGTCGTCAATGACCATTGGTAGATGGTTGAGAGCCACCATAGCTAAAGTTACAAATGCCAGTCCATCTCAGTTCCTAAGGGCATTGCAGCCCACTCAACCAGGAGTGCGGCAATATTAGCAGCATGGGCCACACGAGCTTCCATAGACGAAATTTGCAGAGCGGCAACTTGGGCTTCACTATCGCCCTTTGTCAGAAATTATAAAATTGATGTCTATGCCTCAGCGGACGCTTCATTTTGCAGAAGAGTCCTGCAGAGGGTCCATAGAGTTTAGGAGTGGATTTCGATCCAGACGGAGTCCCTCCCTAAGGACAGGCCAAACTTTGGTATGTCTCTCTTCTGGATGCTCTGAACAGCTCATGGGAGAAAGGGTGTTGGTACTTACCCGATACGCCCGTTCTCTGTGAGCTGTGAAGAGCATCCAGCCCCACCCATTTCTTTTCATCTGGTGGGGTTCCGTTCTGGTCAGGGATCTAGATTAGGTGATGAGTTCCGGACTTTGGCATCAGTCTTCGCAAAACTGGGGGATGCTGGGGAGGTGTCCCGTGAAGGAGGAGGAGCGTCCCAAAGTTTTAAGCCCAGCCTTTCCAGAAGAGACTGAAGCACCTCCCACTTCTGGATGCTCTTCACAGCTCAAAGAGAACGGGCGTATCAGGTAAGTACCAACGCCCTTTCTGACAGATTTGGAATTTTGATTAGCAGTTATTGATAGGCATTTATTTGGTAGGCATTCCTGCAGTACCCTGCTGGCCAAACGGGCCACAGAGGGCTGCGTCCCCTCCCCGCACCCCATTTTGGCCTTCAGAAACACAATTTTGGCCAAAAATGGGCTGCACGGAAGCCCTGCAAGGCTTCTGCATGGCCCATTTTGGCTGGCAGAGGCATCGCGGAGCAATCCTTTGATATTTCCCGGCCGGACCTGCTGGCCAGATGTAAGCACCTCATGGGCCAGATCTGGCCCGGGACCTTGAGTTTGACATCATTGCTCTAGATTCTTTACTGTTAATTGACACTTCCAAGTGACCTGCATTTTCAGCTTTTCTTCATTACACAGCTGACTTTTCTCTCTGTTTCTCTCTCTCTTCCTCCCTCCCTCCATTTCTCCTGCTATCTTTGTAGGCAATTTTAAAATGAACACTAGCCTTTTAAATGGTAATATAGCACAGGCAAGAACTTTTAACAGCACAATATGTAAAAATGATGAACCTCAGAAATGGACCTGCCATTTCTCAGAGAAAGCTAATGAGCTTTATGGAAGAACAACACAGGGAAAACACTGTGGAAAGTAACACTGAAGGAGAACGGAGCCACCAGTGAGGAGACAACATTCCACGGGAAATAGCTTTAAAAGCAATAAAAAGTGTTAAGGGACTAGCAATGAAAACGTGAAAAAAAAACCAAAGCACTCAGAGTGAGGGAAATAATTTGGCAATGAAGGGGAAGGCCGCATTCACAGGGGAAATGGCATTCAATGGGGGGAATAGCATTTGAGACAATGCTGAAAGAGTAGTGATGAACAATCTCTAGGGACT